AAAAATTTTGCGGCCGTTGCCAAAGAACCCCGCATCCATCGCGACATTGGGACACGGTGTACAGACATTCCAAACAATCGAAATTATCATCGAAAGACAAGGTTTTATTTTAGGCTTAGAAATATTTTTTTCCGTCAGCCCATGCATGGAACTGCCATTTAGCTTCATGGTCCTTCAGCTTGTCTTCGCCTCGGAACACATCGCGAAGACTCAATAATCAGGAAAGAAAACCCAGACAACCATGTCGTACTTGTGTTGAAATACATTTTGTATTTCACGTCAGAATATTGTTTAAAATAAAATATTCAGTCCAAGCCAAATCGAGGCCAAAGGGTCAGGTTGCGTGCATATAATTATAGATAGTTAAAACAAAAAGTATTTGAACTTTTGTCAGCTGTTCAACATCTATAAAAACCATAAAGACAATTATAAGACAATGTGAACCTCGGAAATTTTTCTGTTAGTCCGAATTTTAAATGCGTGCGAGCGAGCATTGATATTTCGGGGTTTGCGCGGTCGAAAATAAAGCGGAAATTGTCCGGTCAAATTCAACAAGCGGTCAAAAAAGCGAGAAAAAAGGTGATTGGAAAGCGGGAGCGGGCGGGAGTTAGTGCGAAATGAGTACTGTAAATTTGCGCAATTTTATTTTAAATCGTTTTATTTTCCAAGTCAATATTCTATTTTACTAATACGCAACGCAATGGCGAAGAAAAGAAAGAAAGCGTTGACAGATGAGGCGAAGAAAAATCTGCTACTCAGTGTCGCACTCTGACACAGCAATTTTTTTTTTTCAAACATCGGCCATTTTGTTTCACCATGAAATTCGTTTTATTAGATCACTTATCAGAGACACTTGAAGGATTAGCTTGTTTGTAAACTGTCAGCGTGTACAGTGGGACAGTAATGTTTGTCAGAGGATTATCCCTCGTTGTTCGTTTGCATAACAATGGAAACCATAACGTTCCTGGAGTGGGGACTCAAATGCCAGCAGTTTTCTTCATTTTTCACGCTAGAGCTTGAAATTATTCATTATCTGACACTCTTTATGAGTTCTATGATATCAGTGGTTAATATGTTTGGCCATTTAATCTATATTTATAATAATGCAGCAAATCTACAGTGTTTTATTAACCAAGACTGTTTTTCGCGTTTTTCTCGAATTGAAGTTTCGATTGAGTACGACTCATTGGGACCGCCGCCAAATCAAGTGCGTTCGAACTAGGACATTCAAACTCGCAGTTATCGTTCAAAAGATAATGATGGTGCGAAATATGTCTGGGTTTTAAAGAAAATGCTTTGTCACAGAATATAGTCTGTTAAAGTGCCAAGTATGAAATATTTGGGGACAAAAAACAACCTGCATAGAAATCGGAATAATAGTCTTTGATATCGAGACGCATTTCATGGACTTGATT